GAGTCATTTATTCTATTCTAATGGTAATCATGATCCATTCTATTTACAAAAAATAGATCCTGTAAACAAATCAAAATAAAACAAAACAAAAATAAATAAAAAAAACACACAAATAAAATAAAAAATGAAACAAAACACACATAGAACAAAACAAAAAACACAAATAAAATAAAAACTAAACAAAAACAAAACACAAATTAAATAAAAACAAAAACAAAACAAAATACAAAAAAACAAAAAACAAAGCACAAATAAAACATAAATAAAAACAAAACACAAAATAAAAATTTAAAAACAAAAAACAAAAAACAAATACAACAAAACAAAACAAGTACAACAAAACAAAAAATAATACAAATTAAATAAAAATATTACAAATAAAATAAAAAATAATACAAATAAAATTTAATTAAATCCTTTTTTTATTTCCAACTTTTTCTAACTTTAAGTATTTTATTAAAAAAAGATATTTTATTTGTTTGTTTATATTTGTTTGTTAAAATTAGGCAGTTTTGTGTATGTATTACATATTGGATCAAGACAATAACAATGAATACAATATTTATTTGTCAATTTTTTAAGTGATTGATTTGCTCATTATGGCTAAATAGGTCTGATTATATATATATACTACCTAAAGCTTATTGGATCTACCCACATAATATAAAGAAAACGTTCATGCCTTATACCGGAATTACAGCATTATTAATAAATAATCTTTATCCAAAGCTGAAATATTGTACATAATCCATCTTCAAATATAACAGAGCATGGAATAGAAACCAAATTTGTACTAGAAAGGTCACCAGATAATGAAACTGAAAATATTACAATTGTCACAGGTGCAACCTAGCAGAAAAGGCACATGCTGTAGTCTATATTTCTGTTTTGCATGAAACAAAGCCTGAATCTTTTATTAGAACAATACACTGTTGCTATATTTTTAAGCGGTTAACAGTAAACAGTAAAACCTCTTACCACCATACAACTACAGTGCTCATGTACAAGAATGAGCAAAGTCTTCAACCACAAATGCCGTAAAAAAAAAAAAAAAAAAACAATACTAATAATATAGGGCTGCACAATATTGGACAATTTGGAAATATTGGAAACATTGCAAATATATACAGTTGAAGTCAGAATTATTAGCCCCGTTAAATTATTAGACCGCTTGTTTATTTTTTCCCCAATTTCTGTTTAAGGGAGAGAAGATTTTTTCAACACATTTCTAAACATAATAGTTTTAATAACTCATTTCTAACAACTGATTTATTTTATCTTTGCCGTGATGACTGTAAATAATATTTTAAATGATATTTTTAAGACACTTCTACACAGCTTAAAGTGACATTTAAAGGCTTAACTAGGTTAATTAAGTTAACTAGGCAGGTTAGGGGAATTAGGCAAGTTATTGTATAACGATGGTTTGTTCTGGAGACTATCAAGAAAAAATATAGCTTAAAGAGGCTAATAATTTTGTCCCTAAAATGGTTCATAAAAAATTAAAAACTGCTTTTATCCTAGCTGAAATAAAACAAATCAGACTTTCTCCAGATGAAAAAATATTATTAGACATACTGTAAAAATGTCCTTGCTCTGTTGAACACCATTTGGAAAATATTTAAAAAAGAAGAAAAAAAATCGAAGGGGGCTAATAATTCTGACTTCAACTGTATATATATTCTGCTACAACATAAATATTATCAGTAGATGACTTCAATTTCTTTATTTAAAAATAATGTTTTATTTCAGATTGATTGAGATAATTCTGCATAAAAAGAAGTTTGCCGAAATAAGCCTGGTTACTCTCTGTGTTTTTTTTTTTTTTCTTTTACTTTCGTCAATTGGTCAAATTTGTTCCCCATCACTGTCGCCACTAGCTTGGTTTGGGACTTGTGAAGCTGAGCATCGATGGATTTGCTCTCCAGTGTTTGAACTTTCAGCAGTGAAAATTAAACTAAACTGAACTGAACCAAACTGAACTTAAACTCTGAAAACTGGACTGACAGTTTCAATTTACTAGAACTTCTTTGTTAAGCTACTTTGACACAGTCTACATTGTAAAAGCGCTATTGAAATAAACATGAACTGAATTGAATTATGTTCTTGTCAATCTACAAGCACAGTTAAATATAAGAAAGAAAAAAAATACCAATAAAATTAACATGTTTTAGAAGTATAACAGTATTCCGCTACAGTAACTGAATAATCAAATAAAAGTAAAATAATACAAGCACAAGTTAAACAAAATTATAGTGTAAAGCCTTTATTATATGAGTAATTTAATAAAATTTACTGTTATCATAGTTATAAATGGTGCAATTTCTTATGTGTGAACGCCTTTAAAATCATTTTACAATTACTGTGCATTTACACCGAAGGCGGTGAGAGTGTCAAAGCTCGCTCTGGCCGCCCTGGTGACAATGCTGTCTGCCTTTACTGCTCCAGCGACAAAAGCATCCAAATTCAGGATCTCGATCGCGTATTTAAAGAAGCCGTTGCAACATATCAGCAAATCACTCACATTCCCGTATTAAACATGCTTGAAAATGCTTTTACAGGATGATAGCAGGATAGAACTGTAAAATACGGGGGGATCCCAGGAAAACGGGAGGGTTGAGAGGTATGCTTTTTATCAAATTCATTTACCAATAGAAGTTTTAGTTGCATGTGGTGTGGCTTTGCTCCATGTATCTAATATGTGTCCATATGTCTGAAATACTCTGAAGCAACAATACTGTTTCGTACTGTCACTTTTTTAAAGACAATATATATATATATATATATATATATATATATATATATATATATATATATATATATATATATATATATATATATATATATATATATATATATATTAGGCCTGGACAATAATTCAATATCAATATATTTTAGGATAGAATTTTTTTCAATAACAGTGAAATTAGTTTTAAACTAATTTCTGGAATTTCGATATACATTTGCATATATATATATATATATATATATATATATATATATATATATATATATATATATATATATATATATATATATATATATATATATATACTTTATTATATATATAAGATCTTATACATTGTTTTATTTGCCACTGAGTGACGGTGAGTGCTCAGCCATCAGAAAGATCAGACATGCTGCCAGCGCTCAGCACAGCTCCGTCGCAGAAAGTTTGCCCTAAAGTGTGCCCTTGATACAGATGTGAATAAACAAGCTTCCACGAGTAAGAATGCAGATGAATTTGTTTATGAAAGGGAAAAAACCAATGCAGTGGTGTCTTAGTGGTTCGGCTTTTTAAATTACGATACACTTATTTAATTTGTTTGGGTGCTCTGCAAAATGTGCGGAAGAGTGCCGACTAGCAGTAGGAAAACATCAAATGTCTTCCACCCGATAGAACATACTGAGAGTATAAAACATTAATGCACATCAGTAACTCGCCAGTAACTTTTTAAATGTATGTTCCTGTAAGAAAATATTGCAAATAACTGGAAATCTGGCGACTGCAATAATCAAACCCTTAAGAACAACTGTATTGGGAACCAAAGTTCACAGGGCTCTGTTCTCTAGTCCTCTCAAGCGATGGACTTCTACATTCTGATTGCTTGCCGCCAAACTGCGTCACAGCTCATTACCATAAAGTTAACTTGATTTTAAATCACCTCAACTCCCACACCAGCGAAGACGCGCCACGCTGTTTTTGCAGCTTATCGCCGCCAACTTCCACTGAAAAAGAATGACTTCTGGCTACTTTGACACTCACAGCTTTCAAGGTGAAAGCACAGTTACATTACACAGGCCTCAAAAACGAATGCAAATTATAAACTGTAACCCAGACTCAATTTCATTGCGTATCCTGCGATGTGACTACTGCGAATGACCAAATTGTGATAACACTTGTGAAGCACTAGCTGGCAGTAGGTGTTCATGTTCCTCTGTGTTGAATTTCACCACGGGTGTTTAATTTATTCTGAATGCTACCTTAATGTACACGAAGCTAAAACTCGCTAATTCAGTGGCAGGAACCAGTGGACACGTGACGACTTTATTCATAAGATAAACACAAAACAAAAGTTTTCACCGGGAGCTCCTCCACGGGACTCCATATTTGTTTCAACAATTGATTGTCCGACTCACGGCTCTCAGGCATACCAGTCAACACTGGGATATAAAAATAAGAGATACCTGTCATGGAAATGAAGGGAATCTTGCTATTTTTCATAATTTATTTGAAAGTGTTTTAATACCTAAATAAAATGAAAACATAGAACATATTCACATTTAAGGACAAGGGATGTCCCCAGGCGATTCATTGGTAAGGGTAGTGTATAAGGAGGATCGGCTCTTTGATGTTTATTGCCACCTTTCATAGAAGGATTCAAAATATGGAAAAATACCTTAACGGGATGATAGCGGGATACAATTGTAAAATACAGGAGAATTCCAGGTGGGGTTGACAGGTATGTTCTTAGCACCGCTCACACTCATCACATATAGTTCGACCTTTTGAGCGGTGTACATCGGCATGAGCTACCACTAAGGCTATGCGACCATGGCTGAGCTGGAGCATACTCAAGCGTTTGATGCAGAAGTAAAAATCATCCTTAAAAATAAAATAAAATAATTAAAATAAAATAATAAAATAAAATAAATTAAAATAAAATAATTAAATAAAATAATTAAAATAAAAAATAATTAAATAACTAAATGAACAAACGGAAATAAAATAAAATAAAATAAAATGTACTTTTTTAAACAGACCACACAGAATAAATCGATTGCAAATTATAAATTGAAATCTAGACTCAACAATGTGATTATTGCAAATAATCACATTGTGACATAAATGCTGAAATAATATATTGTGCAGCCTTGATAATAATAATCATCTAAATAAATTATCACAAAACCCATCTCGTACACAATTTTTCCACATAAAAGCATCCTCACGCATTAGGTCAGAGCCAACCTTTACAGATTTAAAGACATGCACTCACCATTCTCAGTGTTTTCATGCTCGGTGTCGGTGAGCGTAAGGTTGGAGTTGGCTCTGCTGGACAGGCAGGAACTGCGGCCGGATTTGGTGTTGCTGCGGCCCCAGAGGCGGACGGCGTGCTCGGGGGACATTATGCCGTCTGTTTCTGTGTCAGCGTCTGATGCCACACTCACTGAGTAGTCGCGGTGGGGAAGGCCCATTTCTGTCCGGTACGCTGCCATATGTGGCGGCACGGGATCTCCGAAGGCCATGTCTCTGAGAGAAAAGTCCGGCCCTGAAACCACACACAAGGACACGAATGATAGAAAACACAATCTGTGCTATGTAGACCAGAATGCAGGAGGAAGGGGACTGAGATGAACATAAAACAAGCTTGCATTTTCCCTACCTTATTCTTATTGAGTTTTTAAAGTGTATTGTACACATGGAAATCCACAATTATCTTTGAAATTAAAGTTTTTCTCAATTGCTTTGGCACGATTTTTAAAACATTCTTTACAAACATTCTAGTGGAACTTCTGAACTTTATTGCATGTTTGTAACATGCAGGTACTCACCCAAAACATTTAATTCACGCTTTAATAGTTAACGTGTCAGTAATTTGGCCATGACTACAAAACATAAACGTGTTATTGTGTGAGGTACTCTATTCATGATCGTTTTTTCACCATGACAGTCAATTATAGAAATTAAGGTTGAAAAAAAAAATTGTTGAGAATTGTGAATGCTGTATCAAAAAACAAGATATGAACGTTTGTATTCATCCAGTACATTTATTTTGAATATAAGAAATGTCAATCAGACGTAAACAAAAAGCTTATTGTTCAGTGATCTAAACATACTGTTTTGAACATTTCAAAACAATAATAATTGAGATTTGAGCCAAAGCAATTGAGAAAAGCTGTAATTGAAACTTTGGTAAAAAGTGTGTTACAAAAAAACTACTTTTGTTAGCATGGACTAACAATGATCATTTTTACAACATTTATTAATCTGAGATTTTAGTTTAAACACTTATTGTTATATAAAAAAAATAACATGAAACACCTGTACAGTATCATTATCATGTTAGAGTGAATTGTAATTCTGTATTAATTGTAATAATTGTATTAATCTTTACAAAACAATAATAATTATTTCTAATAATGTCTAATAATGCTAAGTAAAACATACAACTAAAATATATAATATATATATATATATCATTCATTCATTTTCTTGTCGGCTTAGTCCCTTTATTAATCTTGGGTCTACTTATCCAGCACGTGTTTAGTGGATGGCCTTCCAGCCGCAACCCATGTCTGGGGGACGGGGACACACGCATGCACGCACACACGCACACACGCACACACGCACACACGCACACACGCACACACGCACACACGCACACACACACACACACACACACTCTCTCTCTCTCTCTCTCTCTCTCTCTCACTCACTCACTCATACACTACGGACAATTTTCGTAATTCAATTAAGTCAGAATTATTAAACCCCCTGAATTATTATTATATCATTTTAATCTTAATTAAAAAAGAAAGAAGGAAAGAAAGAGAGAAAGAAAGAAAGAAAGAAAGAAAGAAAGAAAGAAAGAAAGAAAGAAAAAAGAAAGAAAGAAAGAAACTGCTTTTATTCAAGCCAAAAAAACAAATAAACATTTCTCCAGAAAAAAATAAAAAATAAAATAAAATAAATACAATTGCTATTCTACATCAAAACATAGCATACTATCTACACACAGTATATATGGGCTTATTTCTTGCCTTCCAAACTGAAATTTACAGCTCTATAAGCAGTCTGAGGCATGTCAGCAAATAAAGCTAGAGGCTGCAGTCATATTTCAGAAATGTTTTTTAATACCCATGGTGGAAATTTTCTGATAAAAAAATGAGTACAACCAGAGAGGAACAATAACACTGGTGGTGACAATGGCAGAGAAGTTTGTCATTCAGTCTGTCTGTCATGAAATCCTGTTTATAGGAAGGATATATACACACACACACATATAAATATATATATATATATATATATATATATATATATATATATATATATATATATATATATATATATATATATCAAAGCAAAGACAAATGACATTGTCCATCCACAAAATGGTGACATAGACTGTATAACAAGCTCCTAGAAGAGGAAAAACTAAGCACAATTTCTAACTGCAGCTGATCAAATCATTATTAGGCTGGTATCATTTCAAGTGGTGAACTTAGTATGGTGACATTCTTTTTGGCTTAGTCACTTTATTAAAAATTAGTCACCGCAGTGGAATGAACCTCCAACTTATCTTATCCAGCATATGTTTTACGCAGTGGTGCCCTTCCAGCCGCAACCCATCACTGGGAAACATACACACACTCATACACTACGATCAATTTTAGCATACCCAGTTCACACATGTCTTTGCACTTATGGCGGAAACTGAAGCAGCAAAACAAGCAAACTCCACAGAGAAATGCCAACTGACCCAGCCGAGGCTAGAACCAGCAACCTTTTTGCTTTGAGTTTAACGTGCTACCCACTGCGCCGTTGTAATGAGGGTCCTGAAAGTGGTATGGTATGGTTCTCTATTTTTCCACTGATAGTGGAAACAGAAAAAAATGCGTACCATACTGTACTGTATAGAACCATACATTTCAGTGTGAACAACAAGCCATGAGAACAGTGCGAGTAAACTTCACTCCCCTGGGTTCAAGAAACACACTATCAACTGCAGTTACTTGCAGCAGGGATAAATACAGCTAAAAGAGTTACATTAGCACATTCGATTTTAAAACTACTTATTACAGCAGAACATCTTTGACAGAGCGTGTCATCTCATATAACGCTAAATTGCCAGAGAATATGCGATAAATGAAACCAGCTGATATTTAATCAACCCAGGAAAGCCTAACGAGAAGTTTATATTCAAAATGTAATGCTCAAACCCACTTGAGTGCACTCAACACCACATTCAGTGCGCGCTCATGTCTGGCGAAGGCCAAAGGTACAAGAAAGAGGAAGCCGTTTAGATGGAGCTAACTGCAAACTGTAGATTTATGCCTGACAGCGAGCGCAATAACAGTTAGCGAGCCTGAGAGCAACAACGCATTTAGTATTCATGGAGGGGAAGTGGATATTTTTTCAGGTCACCATCAACTGGACACATTAGAAGGTCATAAAAGACATGAGCGAATCAGCATTCACGACACCCCCCCTCTCATTAAAGTCCCAGCACACTAATGGCTGAGCTACAACACCGCATTGAGCTTTCCTTTTATCTCTCCGCTTTTAGATACTGCTTTTGCAAAGCGGCTGGAATATATTAGCGACAGATCAAATCGTCACCGCAGTCTCTGTTAATTGCTGGAATGCAATCACTCCGTGAGGCGTATCTGAAAGATGTGCTGCAGATCTCCAGTCAGTGAGATGATCCCCCCTCCACCCAATAGCGATGGTTCGGCTCACGTTAACAAGTATGTGTAATGGATATGTGCTTTAATATGAAGTGAGCGAGTAAAATGATGAGGGGCACAGCTTTCAACACTTCAAAAGCAAATAATAAGCAGAGAGGTCATGTATCAAGGATTATTATGATTTAATTGCATTCTTAGCATCAAAAGTTTTAATAGCGGTCATTTAAAGGAATCATCATGTTCTAAAATGTTTCATTTTTTCCCACTTAATAATGATCAAACAAGCACTCAGGACCCAAATTTAAGCTCAATTTTTCAAAACAAATCTTATATGCAAATGAAACAGTGTTTTTGTCTTCACTTGTGCTCATTTCTATTCACTTTTTACTTTAAACTTATAGAGGCAGTGGCGGTTCTAGCTTAAATGGCACCCTGGATGAACCACACAAAGTTGGGCACATATAGAATATGCCCAACTTTGTGCAAAATATAGACAAAACCAGAATTGGCATCATAAAAAAAATAATGGAACATTTATAATTATAAGTAAATACAGTTACAAGTACATATGTATAATGTAATATACTTATGAATGTAATCCCTTTACTTTTTCAGCAGGGGAGATAACACTTACCCTAGACATTTATGATCAATAAAGCTTTTAAATACTTTGTCAAAATGTAAATAAACATATATAGTTTCAGTAAGTATTACTATTGTACCTGACAATATGAGAAAAATTGAGTAAGTAATTATAGAGTAATTGTCGATTAAGATAATTTTTTTTTGAGAAATTGTTATAACTTTGCTTGAAAGTCAAGTTTACATACAATAAGATTATTATCCCTCTGAAAAAGCTCAGATGATGGTGTCAAGTTTCTAATTGGCTAATTAACAACATTTGAGTTAATTGGAGGCAGTAGAATAGTATTTAAGGAAAACCTCAAACACACTGCTTTCTTGTGTGACAACATGGAAAAATCAACAAGCCAGAATCAAAAAAAAAAAAAAAGCCAGATTACAATTTGCAAATTTACACTGGGAAAAATAGTAATTTTTGGACACTTGTCCTGTGGTCTGATGGAACTAAGATAGAACTGTTCGGCCATAATGACCAGTGCTACATTTGGAGGACAAAGGGGAAAGCTTACAGGCCTAGGAACACCATCCCAAATGTGTATTATGGGAGGCGGCAGTATCATGTTGTGGGGCGGTTTTGCTGCAGGAAGGACTGGTCCACTTCACAGCATAGACGGCATCATAATAAAACAATATTATGTAGAAATACTTAAGCAACATCTCAAGACACCAGCCAAGAAATTAAAACTTGGCCACAAATGGGTCTTCCAAACAGACCATGATCCTAAGCATACTGCCAAATTACTAACAAGAGATTATTAACAAGAGAGTAAACATTTTGGAGTGGCCATCACAAAGCCCGGACTCAATCCTATAGAAAATTTGAGGGCAGAGTTGAAAAAGCTTGTGCGAGCAAGACAGCCAACAAATCTGACTCAGTTACACCATTTCTGTCAGGAGGAATGAGCCAAAATTCCTTTAAACTATTGTGAGAAGCTTGTGGAAGGATACCTAAAATATTTGACCATAGTTAAACAGTTTAAAAGCAAAGCAAAAAACTAGAAATGTATGTAAACTTTTGACTGTCTAGAAGTGAAAAAAAAATTCTCCCATTATTTTGGCATTACGCAAATGCAAATCGTTTAGGTAATCCTAGCGGACCTAAAATACTAAACATTTAGTGTGATTTACCATTAGACAATTAAAAAAAAGGTTATGTTCTTTTTTGGAGTCTATGTAAACTTCTGGTTTCAACTGTAAATATCTTAATATTGTATAAAAAAAGAAAAAAAAAATCAATAAAGAAATATTACTTTATAATAAGAAGAAGATAAACAAAAAATAGAAGTAACAGTTTTCAATTCTGAATGAACTGTTACCACATTGTTCAGTTAGTCTGCCATACAAATGTGAAAAATTCAGGCCTGATGGTGATGGTGAAGGTAAATTCAGCAGAGACATGCAGCAATCAGAAACGCATTATGCTTTAATAGGCAAATTATAATGTCATCAATAACGCTTCACTTCTGCAAATTAGCCCAGACTGCTTTCACTGTAAATGCAGAACATATTGGAGTCTGTGTGTCAATTTGAGCCCAAACTGAAAAACCCAGGCTAATTCCAACCATCTTTTTGCATTTAGAGCTGGAAAGTGTAAGAAATCAGTCAGTGGTGTTTCTAGCTCACCTTGTCTGCTGAACTCGTCGGCCTCATGGTGCACCAGGTCTTTGACGCGGCTGCCATAAGCCAGTCTGGAGTCCTGGTCGAAGGCTTTGAGGGTCTCACTCGAGCTGTAAGATTTAGGGTTGATCTTGCCATCCTCGCTGTCGGCGGATGAGCTGGTGTAGCGGCGCTCCGTGTCCCGCCTGGAGGTCAGAGAGCGGTAGGGTCTGCGTTCCTTGACTTCCATCACGGACACGTCTGGAGTATCAGCATGAAAGAGAGAAAAGAGCTGCTTCAGACCGTCAGATTCTGCAGGAGACACACAGATATAAGAAATCAGTGAGGTTAACTGCTTTTTTGCAAATAAAACCTAAAGTTTCATTTTGAACATTATACTATTTAACACACACATAAATACTAAGAAAATAACACACAGATCTTAAAGTAAAAAGGCTAAAAGGTGATTGCATTTTATTGTAAATTGTACTCCAATAATTTATAACCAACCAATAACTTTATATAATATCTCTATAAAAAGATGGTTTTTTTGGAGTGCGCGTATGTAAAAAAGAGCCACTTCAAACCGTCAGATTCTGCCCAAGGTCAAGCTGCTTTATTATTAACACACATATTTACATGTGATTGTATTTTCTTGTCAACTACTCCATTTATTTATAGCCAACAAACCAATCAACTAATCAATCAATCGATCAATCAACCAATGAATCCATCAATCAAACAACCAACCAAACAAACCATTAATCGATTTATCACTCAACCAACAAACCAATCTATCAATCAAGCCACCAATAAGTACATCAAACATTATATCAATTAATCAATCAATCAACCAACCAATTAACCAAAAAGCTAAACAATCCATCAACCAAACTATCCACAAATAAACCAACCAACCAAACAGCCAACCAATCAATCAATCTATTAACCAATCCATCAATAAACAAACCAATCAATCCACTAATCAACCATCCAACCAAGTAATCAACCAATGAACCAACCAATGAATGAATCAATCAATCAATCAATCAATCAAATATGTCGATCAATCAGTCACTCAATCAATCAATCAGCTAATTAACTAACCAAACCAAACAATCCATTAAGCAACCATCCAGTCCACCAATCAATTAACGAATCAAACAATCAATCAAACAACCAACTAACCAATCAATCCACCAATCAACAAATTAACTAACTAACCAATCAATCAACCAACCAATCAATCCACTAATCAATCATGCAACTTAACCACTGTGATTAGGGTTAGTGTAAGCTGACATGTACTTGCAATGTTTCTTATAGTTAATTTCTTATAACTAATTAACCATACAACCAACCAATCAACCATACAACCAATCAATCAATTAATTAACCAGTCAAGCAATTAATTCATCAATCCAGCAACCAATCAACCAACTGTCCCACCAATCGAATCAATCAATCTATGGTTATTTTAAAGTTAGTCATATAAAATGTTTTTTGAGTATTTATTAACATATGCTCACCAAAGTAGCATTTGTTTAAACAAAGTCATACATTAATTACATACAGTTAGTAAATATTACAAATTTAAAAATGTTTTGCATTAGTATTATTTTAACCCTGCTATTTGGGCACTACTACTGCATTCAATGTTTAACATGAATTGTTTGATTAAAGGGATTTATGTCATCAACAATATATGTATATTATTAACACAAACCTTTTAAAAAAATTCAATTTCAATTTCAATTCAATTCAACTTTATTTGTATAGCACTTTTATAAAGTAGATTGTGTTTAAGCAGCTTCACATAAAAGTTCAGAGTAAAAATATATTCTGGATGTTTTATGTGGTGAGGTCTAATTGACCCCATTAGGGGAAAAGGTAACATTTTTTAGCTTTAAAAAGGTAGCTTTTTTTTTTTTTTTTTTTTTTTAATTCAAGCTTAAATTTACATCACATGAAGTCATATTTGTGTTATGTATTTATATTATAATAGTATGTAAAGAAATTTTTTTCAAAATATAAATATGCTATAAATAATAAAAATGTTCAAAATAGCAACAGAAAAAGAGTAAAAAAAATCATTGTACAACAAAAAGTATTAATTATTTAAAAATATATGCATAAAACAATCTAACTGACCACAAATTGTGTAATTGGAAAAAAGAGAGCTTTTTGTTTGTATGTGTGCATGAGACCATAAAAAATCTACAGTTAAAAATAAGCCAGAATTGCAGACTCCTTTAAACTATTTCTCCCAGTCGGTTGATATCATGCAGCACTGCAGCATCTTGAGGGGAAAAAAGCTAGCAGTATTCATTTTGATCAAATTCAGCACAACAAATCTTGAGGCTGTAAAGTTTATGACTTGAATCTCCTCCCTGTGTTTTTACCGCTGATCCGCCAGCAGATTTTAGTGGCAGGTTCCTTCTGTTTGCTCTGCGCTTTACACAGCCTCAATACTCCTACAGAGACTCTCAACTACCTAAAACAGCCACCATTTATTCACCACCATGTGCCTACAAATCTATATGACTTCCTTCCTTTATAATAAATAATAAATAAATGTCAGTGGTCTCTAAAATTCCAGTAGGTAATTTATTAGAACAAATACTGTTGAAGACAGAATTTTTATCCCTCCTTAAATATTAGCAACATATATATTTAAGCAGGATGATGAAGATGAAACCAGAGTGGACACTTTAGCAAAAACAATTATGCAAAACATAGCCAAGAAAACTGTCAAATGCTTCCAGAGAAAGAAAATCAAGCTGTAGAATGGCCCAACCCATCACTTGATCTAAATCCAATAGAAAATACTAAATAAAAATCTGATTTAAGAAATAAGACCCACTGTTTGTTTGTATAAAAAAAGTAAGCAAACATTTTTACCACTAGCTGAACACTAATTATTTATATTTATTTTACAATTTCAATTAATTTCTTTTTAACAGTGGCTCAAATTCCAGTGGTTGTACTGTAGGGTAAATCTCACGAAAGCATAGCTCAAGTCACAACATTATAAGTAATATTAATAATAATAATAATAATAATAATAATAATAATAATAATAATAATAATAATAATAATAATAATAATATTTAAATTATAAATAATCCCAACTATAAATAAAATTGTAAATGTTATTAAATGTAAAAAAAAAAAAGTTTAGTAATTTAGTTAATCAAAAAAAAATTTTTTTTTTAATAACTAAATTATTTTTTAACAAAATCACCCTGCTTATCATTTCCAAATTAAGCTTTTCAAGTTATCTGATGAAATTTCCCAATCATTTCTTTCTCCATGTTGCAGAAAAGACAAACACTGCAATATGCGATGTTAGTAAAACATCTCCTTTTCCATTTTACTAAACAAATGAAATCTATATGGGAATGACATAAAGGTAATTAAAGCTAAATTTATTTATTATTATTATTATTATTATTATTATTATTATTATTATTATTTTGCATTATATTCAACACACAAGGACACATTATTGAACGTGTAAAGGAAAATTAATGGACATCACCATCTGCCTTATTAATATTCAACCCTCATCACAAATCCTCATTACAAAGCAAACAGCAACACTAGAGCTTCTTATAACACACACACACACACACCTCTGTAACTACATCACACTTTGTAGCATAATGTTAAACAAAATGGTGGTGTGCGGAGAAATAAATGACAAAAACAGACAGACTACTTTTACAGATGAAACCTAAAGTTTTAATTGGAACATTATACTAAATAATACAGAGTGGGAAAAGGCTGAAATGTGATTGTATGTTCTTATAAACTGTACTCCATTAATTTATAACCAACAAACCATCAGTCCACTGACCAATCAATCAACCAATCAGTCAACTAACCGATCAACCAAAGAATCCATAATTCAACCAACCAATCAATCTATTAATCAATTTACCAATCACCCAACCAATAAACCAATCCATCATTCAATCCACCAATGAATGCATTAATCAGTATTTCAATCACCAATCTATCAGCCAACCAACTAATTAATAAAAAAAAAACAATCCAGCAATCAAACAACCTACTAATTCACTAATCAACCAACCAACTTATCATCAATTAATCACCCAACCAATCAATCCACCAACCAACCAATCAACCAATCCATCAATCAATCAATCCACGGTTATTTCAATATTCATTTTAATATTCAAACCTCATCCCAAATCCTCACTACAAAGCAAACAGCAGCACTAGAGCTTCTTATAACACAATGACACATACACACACACACCTCTGTAACAACATCACACTTTGTAGCATAGTGTAAAACAAAATGATGGCATGTGCAGAAATAAATCACAAAAACAGACTGCTTTTACAGATAACCTAAAGTTTTAATTTGAACATCATACTATATAACATAGAGATAAATACTAACTGTACTCCAAACTGTACTCCATTGATGAATAACCAACAAAACAACAATCCACCAATCGATCAGTCAATAAATGAGTCAACCAATCAATTACCCACTGAAATCATCAATCAATCAACCAATCCATCAATCAGTTTACCAATCAACCAACCAACCAATCAATCCATTAATCAATCCACCAGTTAATACATTAATCAATATCAATCAGCAATCAATCTATCAACCAACCAAACAACCAATCTACCAATCCACCAACCAAACAACCAACCAATCTATCAATTAATCACCAATCAAACAACCAACCAATAAATCCACCAATCAAAAGACCAACTAACCAATTCATCAATCAATCCACAGTCATTTCAATATTTAAACCTCATCTCAAATCCTCATTACAAAACAAACAGCATCACTAGAGCTTCCAATAACACAATAAAACATAATCATACCAATCAGCCAACCAACCAATCAATCCATCATTCAATTCACCAATTGATGTCAATCAATATATCAATCATCAATCAATATATCAACCAACCAAACAACAAACCAATCAATCTATCAATCAATCAATCAATCACCATTCAATCAACCAACCAATCAATCCACTAATCAACCAACCAACCAATCCATCAATCAATCCACAGTAATTTCAATATTCAAACCTCATCCCAAATCCTCATTACAAAGCAGGACTAGAGCTTCCCACAACACAATAACACACACACACACAAACCTCTGTAACTACATCACACATTTTCTAGTGTAGTGTAAAACAAAATGGTGGTGTGTGAAGAATTAAATCACAAAAGCAGACGGTCTGTAAGAAGACTGTGGAACTGATCAGAGATGGACTCACTGAAGACCAGGATTTTTTTTTTTT